CCTGAACCCTGACAAGGTCCGTGAATTTGTTTTTGCAAGCACAAGCAATTTTTTTGTTAGGTTGAAGAGAGTCCATTGAAGAACCGAAACGCGTATGAGTTTTATATTTTATTGAGGAAAAAATAAATACTTCCTCTGTACATCTGTGAGAACAGACACTAATAATTTATGTTCTAGTTAGTTGACATCATGCTATTACATCCACGTGTTGGTTCTTGATAGGTCTTTACTCCTCCTTTATTCTTTATCAAAAAGAACCATATAATCCTTTTAAATTTAAAGGTTAATTCAAAACACAGTATATTCGTCTCATAAATGTCATTAAAAAAATCAGTAAAGTTTCCATCATCATTCTCAACAATTGATGTCGCGCTACTTCCTTCCTCTAAGTGTTCTCCGCTTTATCCGCGCACATTTTGACATCAGCGTCTCGGCACAAGCAACACAAGCAACCTTCGTTCTGTACGTGTTCTCTTTCCCTTTTCTTGACGTGAACAAAAAGAGCGTGTAATCGGCGCTCGATTAACGTTGCGATTAATCGGCCTCCCGGGGATTTCTCACAACGATCGATTTAGCGGGAGCTGAAGCAAACGGGAGGGAGGATCGCAGGGAGAGCCGATCTCGATCATTTCTTCCGCATCGACGTCCATACGTCCCGCTGTACATAACGTTACTCCGTCGTCGCGACCTTGCAGGTAATTAACAGCGTTCTCACGCCGGCGCGCGTTCGGATCCGCGGCGTGAATCGGCCTGATCATTTTTTACGGTGCCCGTCCTGAATTTTCACACGGCGGAGTCACGGAGTCGTGCGGGGAACGCGCCGCGCATATTTATGCGATTCGCACCTGGCTCGAATTGGCGATTCGGTCGGTCGTGATTGCCCGTGGAATCCGCGCGGACTGGTGAAGCGCGAAGAAACGGCGGCGGTGCCAGCGAGAGAGGCAGCGAAAAGGCAGACGAAGTTGACAAATCGTCGAAACGATGGCGGATGCCGCGAAATGATCCGGAAGACGGACGGTCGTAAGGAGAAGGCGACGTGAACGTGGGAATCGTTTGAACTCAGGATCACGCGATCGAGATCTTAGCTGACTCCACGCTGCCGGCGATTTCGGGTGGGCGCGATTATTCTAGTCGCCGACTTCCCGCATAGAAATTTCTCCAGATTTCCCCAGAAGCAGCATACACTGTTAAATATTGGAGGGTCAAATTTAAACCAATTTCTTGAGTTGAATAATATTTAGTTATTTTTAACTATCATGTGTGTCAAAATATACTATTTTAACACAAAACATGTGTTTAAAAAAACAACCACATCTAATCAACCCTTTTAAAACAATATTAAGTTATTTTTCACTAAAACAAAGGTTACATTAACGTGCATATAATAAATAAACTAAATTTTAGTCAAATTTAATACATTTCTTAAGTTAAATTATTTAACTCCATTACATTGGTTAAATTAACGTCATATTTAGTAGGAGCAGTGGCGACTTATAGGAATGGTTAAAAATAACTCAAATTGAGTATAATTTGACACTACGGATTTAACAGTGTAAATCCCGACCAGATCTCTCAAATTTGCTTCAAAACAGGTTATCTTACTACAACTGGAAATCCCATTTTTATACCGAACATGATTTTCAATTTAGAATTGAGAAAGAAATATTGTGAAAGCACGCGCATTTTTATAGGTAAAATTAGTTTATGAGGTCAAATAAGAGGAATCACATTTTCATAGCAACTATTGAATTCTATGGAATAAAAAAAGAAAAGAAAAATAAATAAAATTTAAGACATTTTGATTATATCGTATATATAATTATATTGCTTTTATTATATTTTACCATATTTTTTAAATACTTGTAAAGTCTGTACACCTTAAACTTTGCTATTCTTTGCAATCTTGAACTTTGCGATTTGGAATGCAGCCAGTACAATGCAGCTAATACAATGAAAGAAGCTGCCTTCTAGGAGTTAATAAACAACAAGTTCTTCCATTAGTCCATCGGCCGCAATTGCACCGAGAAAAAAGTTTCAAAACTTATTAAAACTCAGTATATAATGTGTGTTGCGAATAAAAAGGTTGTCCGTATTTTGAGTGAATTTATCGTCTTGTCCAATAACGGAATCCGTTTTTCAATGGCAGAATGTTTCTATTGGAAAAGACGCGTGAGTACATTTACCTAAAAAATTACAGGCAACTCTTTTGTCCGCGACTATAAACTATAGTCAAACTTATTTTTTGTTTATCCAAATGTTTTAATTCTAATGTAATATGAAAATTAGAAACAATATTTGAGAAAACGTTGGATACCCAGATAGCACACAGAATTCAAAATAATTCAGTCGTAAGTCATCAATTCTGAGTTCATTTTTAGATGCAAAAAGAATTCTTTTCACTGAACTGAACTCTGAATTCTTTCTGCATCTGAAAATGAACTCAAAATTGGTGACATACGACTGAATACTTTTTGAATTCTCTGGGCTATCTGGGTAGAGTATATGGGTTAGGAGCACGTATTATAAAACTGCTTTGAATGGATTCCGATCAAAATATTGTTATTTCTTAGATTTCTGTTTTCCCTAGATGTTATCCAGGGAAAATAGATTGGAATTCATACCGAACAGTTCAATAATACATATCTTGTTTAATTAGAAACGCGTCTTTGAAACATTAAAATCTTCATTTTATTTTAGAAGAAGTGGCATTTTAGAAACTCTATAGAGTTACCGTTAGAGAGAATTTATACCTTAGCAGAAAAGTAAAAGCCAATCAGAATTTGCGCTGGTGGCCAGATGGTAGTTGACAGTTTCTATTTTTAGCAACGCGATTTCTGATTGGCATCTGTATTCCTGCTTTTTTAATAAGAAGTGAATTCTCCCTTAAGTTCAGTGACGCATAATATCTGAACCGGCCAGGTTTCTCCTAAAATTAGAAAAGAACTGAAGATTTCTCAGTCCCTCTCTTTCGTTTACAATAGAATTGAACGAAACATATGCTGACTTTCCAAATCATTTTATTACTAAAATATTCCGTGTTTTAAAAATATTTTCTAATTTTTTGTTGAATAAAATAGAATAGTTGATGTAAGGATAGAATTCTTTGCATAATATTACAAGTTTACTGTTAGGCTACCGCCTGAAAAAAGCGGGACTTTCCATTCTGTTTCGATTCTAGACAGAGAATCCACCTGTGGAGAATCAACAAGAGTGGACTTTTCACTTGATATCATAATAAGATAATCAATTTTTGGGCAATTTAAGCATTCTAATCGGAATATACGCTGAGTATCTGAGAAAATCTGGAGAAAAATATTATGTAACGTAATCTCCTCGATGCCATGCGTGTAGTTGTGTATGTGTGTGAGTATATACGTACGATTGCGGACGTCAAGGTTCTCCGTCTTTTTCTTACAAGTTTCGGAATGTCTTATCCAATATTGAAAAACAATTGTCACGATCTTTTCTCCCATTAATAAACCAATTTTTTCATTGGACAAGACGGGAAGATACTTTCTTAAACTCAAAAAAAGTCGATAATCTTTCTGTCCGCGATTGTACACCGTTCGAATTAAAACCTACGCTTCTTCTTGTACGCCCGACATATGGTGTGACTTTTGACAAAGTCTGTTCGTCCAGCTATCCTACCTCACTCGACACGAATACAAACGAAAGGGGGACCAAAGAAACTCCGACTTTTTTTTCTGGTTTTGGGGTATAGAAATCTGGCCGGTCCAGAGTGATGCGTTACCGAATCTAACGGTAACGTCCAAAACGCCGCTTCCTCTCGCCGAGCCGAACGTTATCGAGTGTACCGAGTTTACTCATCCTCGTACTCTCGATAACGGTACACGCGTGTTTCGGTGCTTCGTTTCATGAATAAATTATTGTGTAACTGTCGCGACAAGACGCGAGATTGAAATTCCCACTCTTTGGTTCCGCGAACGACGTTACGCCGAGTGCAAATGAAATCGACACATTTTTATGATGTTTAACTCACGCGAAGTCATAAATTGAACCATCGGCCCCGTAGTTACGGGCTCGATTTTTCTCGTCGATCGCGCATTGCAGCAAGAGGAATTTTCGACGACGGTGTCGTTTCTTTTGCGGAAAGAGCCGCGAGCGAGATGGAATCGTAATTTCGTGTCCTTATATCGCGGAAAAACTCGGGGGCCTGCTCCTTCGGCCGGTGTACTTAGACATTATGCCTTGGATAATAAACGTCTGAAGCACTCGGAGCCTTTTAAGTACTTGAACTCGGCCGCTGACGATTGTCTCTCGCGAGGCGTCGCAAACAGAACAGAAAATCACAAAGATATTAAGAATGATGAAAGAATGACTAAAAAATTCACTTCTGTTTCACGAAAAAATGATTACAAATTCGATCATTTTCTCGTCATTTTGCCGTCATCGTGATTTCCTGTTCCGCTTAGGTTTCCTCGAACGCTCTTTCGTCTACTTGCGCGGGCATGAATCTCGAATTTCTCGGCCGGCAAGGGTTGATTTTGTCCTTGCCCGGGAAAAAAGATATTCCTATATAGATTTTATCCATATATGGCCATATATGATCATATATAATCATATATGTCTACATTGAAAAGAATACTGTTCTGAAGATACAGTTGAAGTAAATTCTTATGTTTATGGTAGCCCACGATGTCGACGTTTAATTGAATCAAATTAAGTTTTCCTTTTTTCATTCAACAGTATTTGTTTTATGTACGGACATATATAATTAGATAAGGTCATATATATGGGCAAAAAATTCATATATAATTATATATAATCATATATATTCTTATATAATTATATATGAATTTCTTTTCCCGAGTATACACACCCGAATTCGTGTGACATGACACGCGCTCACATGACCAAGTCGCATTTCTCTCTACCATGAGCGAGATCTCGTTCGATGAAGGACCGAAATTCGAGATTCTTGCGAGGAATGACGGCGCCGTTTGCAGTTTCGAAAACACTCGATCTGATGTTTTACTCACCGTGAGGAACATTTGTTTCAGCGCGTTTAAGTGTCCTTCCTCGGTCCGTCCGGCGAACTCCACGTTGCATTAATCGACCAGGCCCGTCCTCGAGAGACCGGGTGAGAGAGAGAGAGGGAGAGAGAAAAAAAAATAGGGATACTAGAAGTAGGGCACACGAGTTTCTGTTTCAAACACCGTTCATGTCACTGCACCGGATGTCGTGGGGTCGAGCACCTCCGTCCTCGCAGGTGGATGTCCAGAGGTTGACTGTAGAATCGTAAGTAACCACTCTCTGTGCTTGGGCAGCGAGCCGGGGCGAAAGAGGGGATCCTCAGGCCGGAGATACTGGTCCCTATTCTGCCTCTAAACCTTTTTCCGCCTACTGAAGAGAGAAGATCGCCGTGAAGGAGGGTAGCCTCTCCGACGCGGTTCCTTTTTTCAATATGACGTGAAGATCGAATAACGCGGCATCCGAAGAATAGATGGGCCGAGATAGAATATGGTAGAAGAAACGTTGCCCGTCTTACGACGTAAAAACAACCCGTAATTTCCGCTCGATAGAAAATCTGATTCTTTTTGTCACAATTTTCGCCACCGGTACTAATCAATCATGAAAGTACAATTTTTGTATGGTTGATAAAAAGAGGACATTCAATTTGAATATACACGCTCTTCCTCACTTTCGCTTTTGTTAAATAAAGATATATGTGCGTGAATACAAAACGTTTACACTGTTGTTATATAAAACTATTACGCCAATTATCATATACAATGTTTTATTGTTCAAGAAATGATTGCATAAAAACTAATAAACAATTAAATGATTGTGTATGTATGTGATAACATTGTTATTTGATAAAATCAACAAAAATTTTTGTACATGGACTTCGCAAATTACAAATCATTACTTAAACTGGACATGGAAGATGTATTAAATACTATTAAAAAATCATAGAAAAAAAAATATATATATATATAAACATAAAGTAAATTCGATGGCATTATTTTATTAATCAATTGTAGAATTTGAATTGAGAGAATTGAATTTGAAACATTATTGTTTCCGAGGAGTAAGAACAATTTTTATTTCATTGGCTGTCAATGGTAGGTGATGGAAAACATGTTTCCAATTGAAAAATCGTAGTTTCATGAATAATTATTCCTAAATAATTATTTGAAACTTTTCGATATAAATAAAATAAATGAATATTTATAATTATTTATGTGTCGAATTTATAACTTGGATCTTTGTTGTAAAAAATAAATGTTAAATTTTAGAGCTTATAGCCATCGAATTTCTTAGCAACAACAGAGATACCTTGGTTACATGACATATCTTACTAGTTTTTTTCTCAATTTATATTGTAACGATGTAAAATGCACACATTAATCTCAGTAATGACACTTTCCGCGCGTGTAAGCTCTCTTCTTTTTATGATATAATCAACACATATTTATGTGATATATCGTGAACGTAGATTCCTGTACAATATACTAGACTACTAAGATCTATGGTGGTGAGAATTAAGATCATAATGGTAAAAAGCATTATCGAGTGAACACTCGATTCAGTTCAGTTTAGTATGTTTTTGTGTCCATTACTGTGAAATTTAAAGAAGTAAAATATTTCTGCTTGTGTAACATTGTTACATCTTAAACAATACATTTTTAAACCATACATATAAGATATTTGGATACTGAAATCGGTTTAAAACAACGTTTTTTGCATAACTCTTTTTCTGATACTCTATGCGCATATTTTGCTTTTCTGAAATATGGCAGTATGGTTATGTATTTATTTCTATATTATATAGCCGAATATGCTAGCACTCTAGTATATTATAGAGTAGTCTATGATTGTGAATAAAATTATATAGCAGACATTATAAAAATTATGAACATATGTTGTAAAACTAGAATCACACGATGTATGATTTTAGACCAGGACGCTTCAATTTAGTTCCTCGCATAAACTGCTATCGTGCATTAGATCTGTGTGGTAAACTGAGCTGTTTACATATATGATTTGTATCGTATGACGCTAGCTTAAGGAAAATACACGGTTTTGTAAAAACCGTGTGTATATATATATATATATATATATACTGTTCGGCATTAATATATAATCAACCGTTCATTCTTTCAGAATTCTTGAGAGCAAACGTCTTACAGAATATTTCAATATAAATGTTTGCAGCATAAGATAGTATCTTAACCTTAATGATCTAAATGCAATGGTAAAAAAAAAAGAAAATTCAATGTTACATGTACTAATAATTGTTTAATCCTCAAATTTAATGGAATTAACACTAGTATCTATTTGTCCGCCGTGGTAACTACCACGCTTCTTCTTGGTCTTCTCATGTCGAAACGATTTGCCTTTCGTATGTTTCAGATCCTGATGAGCCCGTTCGCCCCATGATCCACGTGAACCTCTCTGCCGATTAAGGAAAACAGAGGATTACATATTTATTTATGTTCATAGAGTCAATTTTTCAATATAGATTAAACGTATATTTAAATTTAAACTCTTCGCACACATTGTTAGAATAGAGTTCTAAAACTTAAAATAATATAAATTTAAACTACTATTGATAAGTCGATCCTTACCCAGATAAAATTCTCACGATTATCACGACGTGAAATATTCAATGAACTTTAAGAGAAACTTCATAATTTCTTAAATTATATTAAATTATATTCAAATATACTGTATTAAATTAATAATTAAAATCATAACAATGTAAATTTTGTTGTACATAAAAGCAATAAATTTACTAAAATTTACACATTCAAGTTTTGATGTTACATTTTACATGACATTGTTTTGAGCAAATTTCGATCTTTTTTTGTATTTGTTTTGTCGTTCTATGTAGCAAATATAAATGCCATATGAACTATTCATAAGAAACATAATCTTTACAAATCAACTAGTAAGGTCGCTGCCAAATTTTTTTTATCTGAATAAAGAACACATTCTATATAAATTTATAGTCCCAATTGCAATCATTGCTTCTCACCTCAACATTTATTTATTATATATATATATGTATATATATACAATCATATTATTAATCATCAAATGTAATCTTCTTATTTTGTGGCGAAGCTCCGTTATCAAAAGATTTTCTTTGATCGAAACCACCTCTGCCGCCTCTGAAACCGCCTCGACCTCCTCCTCTACCGCCTTCTCCATTGCCCCATGATCTTCTCGGACCGTTGTCGTTTCCACCCCACGATTTTCTGTCACCAAAACCACCCCTACCGCCACGACCGCCTCTATCACCACCGCGACCACCGCGTCCTCCGCGACCAGTCCTATCGCCATCGCCACCGTATCCACCTCTGAAACCGCCACGACTGTCGTCGCGCCCTCCCCGGAAACCGCCACGATTGTCGTCGCGCCCTCCCCGGAAACCGCCACGATAGTCGTCGCGCCCTCCCCGGAAACCACCTCTGCCACCTCTAAAACCTCTATATCCACCGCGACCCGAATCCGATCTCTTAAAACTATTATCATTTTCAGTGTTGTCCTCCTAGAACAAAAGAGGAACAGGTCAATGGCCACCTATTATCGTATAAACATATTAATATTTAATAACTAATCTTATCTTTTCATTTACTCCCGATCTTAAAATCTAATCAAGCTCGGTGAATGCACGGAAACACAGTTCTAAGGTTTCATATAAGTGGCGAGTAACCTGTGCCTCTCGGATGTTTCCGAGCATTTACCTTTGCTTCAAAAGAATTGTTAGATAATTTTGGATCCAATGTAATCTCCTCCTCTCTCACACGACGGAAGGGAGCCATTTTCTTGGGCTAAATGAAAAGATAAGCGATGAGAATGATAAGCGATGCTGAATGATACATTGCTTACAAATTTAATAATATTGTATATCAAAATTGTTTACTATAATAGCTAAAATTAAAGTTATTTAACGAAGCAATAGCGAAAGCATGATGAAAGCAATAACGAAATACCTTATCACTGTTGAAGTTATTGCTCGCTTTCACGAAATTGTCATAATTTTTCTTCGATTGTTGTTTCGTATTTTCAGTAAAATTATTATCTTCCTCATTTGCTCGTTTCCTCTTGTGCGATGCGACAGGCACCTGACTTGGTGCTTCGTCTTCGTCGGAGTCGCTCTCCTCTGAGCTCGAGCCCTGTTTGATAGGCGCCGCTTTTACAGTAGCTTTTGCTGGTGTAGCTTTGACCGCTGCTTTAGGTTTCTCCTCCTCGGACGAATCTGAGTCGCTCGACTCGCTTGACGATTCCTTCTTCTGCGCGCTCTCTTTCACCGGCGTTTTTGTCGGCGCGGGTGCCTTCTTGACCGGCGCTTCATCTTCTGAATCTGATGATTCACTGGAAGATTTCTGCTTCTTTGGTGTCTTGCTAATCGCCGGTTTAGTGACTGGCTTTACTACTGGTGTCTCTTCTTCATCTGAATCATCGGAATCTTCGCTCGATTCTTCCTTCTTAGCTTGAACTTTCGCAACAGGTGCTGCCTTTTTAGCGGGAGGTTCGTTTTCGCTACTGTCCTCGTCGCTGGAGGATTCTTTTTCAACGGGTGTCGGCTTTGGTGTTGCCGCAACCTTACCGGGAGCTGGTCTTTTCAATGATTTCTTTTTGTCAACGCCATCTTCAGTCATAGATTCTATCTTAGCGGATGCTGCTATTGACATTGTTGGTAGCTGCTTTTTAGCAACAGCTTTCTTCGGCTCCTCCTCTTCATCCTCGTCACTGCTGTCTTCACTCGACGACGACTCTTCCTTCGTCACTTTCGCTGGTGTTGGTTTAATCTGTTTACTCTGCAATGTTTGACTTAGTTTTGGTATAGATTTTACAGGTGGCTGTTTGGCAGCCGGCTTCTGATCTTCTGACGAATCATCAGAATCGTCGCTGGAGGATTCTGCTTTTTTATTAAGTATTACGGGTGTTGGTTTGGCTACCCGTTCTTCTTCTTCCGAAGAATCGTCAGAATCGTCATAACTCATAGGTTTTATATTTTTGCAATTCTTTGCAGTGGGTACAGACTTGTGAGCGACTAATGGCATTGGTGTCGACTTGTGCACTTCTGATGCAGATAATGTCGACTTGGCCTTTTTTTGGGACTTGGGTGTTTCCGAGGCAATCGGCGTTGATTTTTGAGTTACTATGGGAGTTGATGTCGCCTTTTTGGATAATTTTGATCCAAGTTTGATAGAAATATTATTATCTTCGTTCGACGATTTCTTTTTCTTTTTATTCTCTTTTGTTTTTTTCTGCACTTCTTCCTCTGATGAGCTCTCATCAGAACTATCTTCTTCTTCTACAGCTTTAGGTGCAACCTTAGGGGCTTCTGGCTTTTTTACTGGTTTCTTGGATGTCGTTTCCTCCTCACTGGAAGAAGAAGAGCCCTCGGAAGAAGATTCTGCAGCTTGTTTAATTGAAGCCATTTTAATTTGTGAGTCGCCATTGATTTGTTTGGTTTTCTTCGGACCTTCTTCACTTTCTGAACTTGAATCTGAACTACTATCTTCAGCTTGCACTTTCATATTAAGTTTCCTGGGGCAGTGCTTTTGGTAATACTGGTAAATATCTAGTAGCGTTGGTGCATCATTGGGCAGAGAAGGCTGAAAAACACAAACATCACGATAACGATCTCATTTGATTATGCATATTAATAAACAATGCAACATATACCAACTGAAGCATTTTTGTAACAATAGTTACCCAATCATAGAGAAACCTACTAAATTATGCCCAAAGTCTCGTCTGGGTGGATAACTATGTAGTCGTGCTCCGGACGAGACAAAGGGCATAATTAGGATCAAACTTTACAGGTAAGTTTGTTCAATCAAATAATTTTCTTTTAAATACAATAAAAAAACATTTTCCTATATATATATATATATATATATATATATATATATATATATATATGTGTATTAAAATAAACCATACAATTATTGATATCCTTCTTAGTTATTGTACTTTAGAAAAATCTTTATGTTCTTTATGTTCATGCAGCATTACAATTAAGCTTCTTGCCTGTATTCTGTGATCCCAAAAAAAACAGATCATCACAACTAAAACTGCAAACAGATGCTATTGGTTGCAAGAAAATCTAAAGTATCAATAATTCAAGGGTGGTGCCAATATATAATTATGCGTGATTTATCCTAACATATGTTATACTTAATAAATGTTTTTCTTTTTATGTATTCTGTAATATGATTTTTTCTTGTTATACCAATGAGGTTATTATAATTAGTATCAAGTGTTACAAAATTTTTCTTTGTGAACTTGTTTTAAGGTAAAATATCTTAAAGCAAGATACTTTTTTGTATTTAACACATAATAGTTCTTTTTTTATGGTTTAATTTCAGTGCGATTCGGTTTTGTTACAAAGATTTCACAAATAAGATATTGATTACTTGAAGATTCCAATTACGTAGAACATTGGCGATTCAAAGACAAAGAAGCTTGAATTGTGAGAGTTACGCTAATATATTGATGTTAATTTTCCGACACGATATAGAGATAATCAAGAGAAAAATCAGTTTTCGGCGAAAATACGCTTTGCCTCCACGTGGTATGGCGGCGATTTTATACCGCGTGGAAGTCGGCGGGATGCACACAATGGAGTATAATTTTTACCTTGTTAAAGATTTTCATAATTATTGCAATGAATTGTTAACTTACCGCATTCGTTTTTTTTCGAAAAATTTTCGCCAAGGCGGCATCATCCTTCACCAGAAAATCGTGTACGAGAGCATACACGCCTAATTTCTCTGCGGAAGCCATGTTAGCTACACGACTCAAAGTAGAAAGACCGAATAAAGCGACGAGGTACGTAGTTTATCACCGACTGTTCGGAACTATGTTAGGCGTTGGTATAGCGTCGTTAGTGTCGTATGTCCATGGTTTATGTTGTATGAAGATATTCGTCAGATATGTTCTTTCCTGCTGCACATTCTGCGCTTCGTACACTTTTTTGCATATTTCTCTTTTCCTCATCTCTTTCATGTATTTAAGTTTACTATTTTTCATTGCATTATGTTATTACATATTTTTGTACTTTCTCAGACCAGTATTTATAAGGTTTGTTCGAGTTACTTGTACTTTTCACACTTTTATACCTAATGCTTGTTGCACATTAGTGCACCTCAAACAACACAAATTTTCCAAAATACATTCTGAAGACATTTTCAGGACGGAGGGACGTCATCAGAGTATTCTTAGGACGTTCTTTGAAGGTGTGAATTGTCTGAAAATAACTAATATCCAATAAGTTTATTCGTATTAATTGAACTTTCTACACTTTCACACTTAGTGCACATTAATTCTTTATGGCTCCTGCATACAGGAGGCGGTAATGCTTGTCGCACGGCGACAGCCAATCAATATGTTGTTTTTCCGTAAGAGCTAGAAGGTTATTACGGAAAACAACATATTGATTGGCTGTTACGCGAACTTCCGCCGCGCGGCAAGCATTACCGCGTCCTGTGTGCAGGAGCCATTAGAGGTTCTAAAAATGGCGTCATGTTTTCCGTTCGTGTTACGAGTGTAAATGCAATTCTGATACACTTTTCACTCTTGCTTGGGATCAAGTGTAAAAAGTGTATTAGAATTGCATTTACACTTGTAACACGAACGGAAATCATGACGTCATTTTTAGAATTTCTAAAGAATTAATGTGCACTAAATGTAAAAGTGTAAAAAGTTCAATTAATACGAATAAACTTATTGGATATTAGCTATTTTCAGACAACTCATATCTTCAAAGGACGTCATAAAAATATTCTGATGACATCCCTCCGCCCTTTAAAGCATCTTCAGAACGTATTTTGGAAAATTTGTATTGTATGAGGTGCACTAGTGTGTAACGAGCATTAGGTGTAAAAGTGTGAATAATACAAGTAACTCGAACAAACTTATAGTCGGATCTTATATTTAAGACAGTCTTTAGTTCATCTTCAGATACTATACAAATCATTTCATTGGCTACGGAGTATCTGAAGACGATCTTAAATATAAGATCCGACTATGAATTCCAGCTTAAAAGTACGTTCTGATGGAGCAAGAAGTAGCGGAACGAAATAGTAAAGGGTGGTTTAAAGAGACACGTTAAAACACTGAAAAAATAAAATTATTCAATTACATATTAAGCCAACGGCACACAATGCTTGTTTTCATGCTGGATTGCTTGTTGGATGGAAATACTCTGTTCTGATTGGTGCATTTCTGAAGACGGACCAATCAGAATAGAGTATTTCCATTTACCAAGAAATCCAGCACGAAAACAAGTATCGTGTGCCGCTGGTTTTATTAGGTGCTTTCCAATTGCTTAATACATCTTGACACATAAGTACACAAAACCAGTTTATTGGTCGCATATTATCTAAAATATCTTGTAAGATAATATACAACCAATAAACTGGTTTTGTGTAATACACAAAACGTAACTGGAAAGCACCCATCGTTTATCGCTTATTAACTTTAATTGTCACTAGAAAACACTAGTTTACACAGCCAATTAGTAGCCCTCGAGCTGAGTACGGATGTGTAGTTTTGTGTCGACGATTACGACAATTGGAATGCAATTTGTGTCGCCGTGTGCATGAAAGTGTTTAGGGATATTGCGATTCGAAACCCATTTTCATTGGTTGCCTTTCACCTAGTTTCTTTTCCGTTACTGTTCCGTTCCGCTACTTCTTGTTTCGGATGCGTTCAGATGGAGAAAGGAATAGTGGAACGAAGCAGTTACGAAAAAAAGATATGGTGGAGGTCAGCCAATCAGAGTTATTCCGTTTTCATTCCGTTATTTGATAGATGGGTTTCACATGGCACGGAATTGTTAGTCCCGATCTACATCTTAGATGTAGTAAGCTTTAAACTTTAAGAAATTAACCAATCACAGTCGATTATTTTTTTCAAATTTGACTGTTATTGGTCAATTTCTTAAAGTTTAGGGCTTAAATCACTTATTGTAGATCGGAACTTACGAAACAGGACAATAACGGAAAACATTCTAATCTATCGAAATAAAAAATTTGCGAAGTGTGGTGAAGTGTATTTGGTTTGTAACGTGTTTTTCGCGACGGAGAAAACAAAAAGACTGTTTATTATAACAAGTCAGCGAATGTTTGAGAGGTATAATTGATATTTACTTATATATATCAATAAAACAATGTTTGAACAATGTTGGAATGTTTAATGTTTGAAAGGTATCATTGATATATATATGAATAAATGTCAACGATACCTCTCAAACATTCGCTGACGCCAGAATAAACAGTTTTTTCGTTTTATCCGTCGCGAAAAACACGTTACAAACTGGACACACTTCGCAAATTTTCGATGTCGATAGATTAGGATATTTTCCATTTTTATTCCGTTTCCTAAGTCCCGATTTACAATAGATTATTTAAGTCCTAAGCTTTAAGAAATTGACTAATCACAATTAAATTTAAGGGAGATTGTGATTGGTCAGTTTCTGAAGGCTTAAAACTTACTACACTTATTATAGATCGGGACTAACAGTTCCGTGCCATGTGAAACCTACCTATCAAATAACGGAACGGAATAAAAACGGCATTACTTTGATTGGCTGACTCTCACCATACCTCTTCCGTAACTGTTCCGTTCTGCTATTTCTTTCTCCATCTGAACGCACCCACAGTATAAGTATACACAGTATAAGTATACACAGTAGGGGCACTGAGCGTCAACCTTTAGGTTTGTTCGCGTCGCATGCCCCAACGTGCTCCTACTCGCTCCAACATACTCTGATTGGTCCGCGTGGTGACATGGGCCAATCAGAGTGCGTTGGAGCGAGTAGGAGCACGTTGGGACATGCGACGCGACAAACCTCTTGATGTATTGGGCCCCAGGTCACATGACTCGTCGCCATGTTGCGGGTAGGACAAGCGCTTCAATTTAAAATTGTTAAGATATAAAATATTTTATGATTTAATAAACACTTTGTCGTATATATATATATATATATATATATATATATATATATATATATATATATATATATAT